AAGAAAAGCATACAAAATTTTTGCGAAGCCAGCCTAATACCTATAAAGAATAAACCACAACAATGTGAGGGTCAGATTGAAGATGCAAGGATGATTCAATGTCAGAAAATTCAGTAATATAATTCCTCGTATTCATTGATCAAAGTAGAAAAATCACATGATCACTTGCATAGAGAGGCAACAAAGGAATTCAACACAATTCAGCGTCTATTTCAGATGAACAAGCCTCTGGCTTTTGTATGGTGTTTTCTTTGCACAGGATGTTCTTCCCTTGAATATTTGCATGGCTCCTTCATTTCATTTGGATCAAAGGTCACTTTACCAGAGGTTCTACTTCATCACCATACCTAAAAGTAGCACCTTTTCTCCCCCTAGTCACTCGACGCCCCCACCCTACTTTAGTTTTCTTCTTCATACTTGCTACCATCTAACCTTTATAAATTTATTTATTGTCTGTCTACTAGAATATAAGCTACATAAACACTGCTGTATCCTCACAACTTAGGGACAGGAGCTGACACATAGTAGGTGTTCAATAAATCTTTGTGAAATTAATAAATAAAGAGAAGCATTCTTCCTTAACATCATGCACGTGTGTGTTTCTGAAAGTTATCATCCTTTATGGGGAAAAACCATTACATTGAAAATATAAAATTGCTGGTATTTGACTTTTTTCTACCTACAAAAAGGGCAATTACATGTTTTAACCTAATAGAGTCACTCCTGTTAGTTAAAAGCAAGGAAAGGATGTGTACCATTCCTAATATTATTTAATATTGTTCTGGTAGTACAAGTCAATGCAATTAGATAAGAAAAAGAAATAGTAGGTATAAAAATTGGAAAGGAGGAGGTAAATTTCTCACTATTTGCCTATGATATAATTTTATGCCTGGAAACCCCAAGAAAATTGAGTAAAAAATTATTTAAAACAACAGAAAAACATAGTAAAGTGCTGGGTATGAAACAAACACCTATATATTAATAATACATATGTATATTGCCACATACCACACAGCATTTCCAGATACAAAAGCATTATATGCATAAATTCAGCAGAAGAAAAAATCCTACTTACAATAGCACATTATAAAATTCTACCTAAATTAATATATAGATGTAACTCAATTCCAATAAAAATAGCACCAAGAGTTTTGATTTGTTTTGTTTTGTTTGGGGGAAGGGTTACTACACATAATACCTTAGAGTAAAGCCATGGAAACCTGCAAGAATTGATGGAAAAAATCTGATTTCAAAAAATGAGAGCACGCAGTCCTACCATAATGAAAACCATTTGGTACTGATACTTGAATAGACCAAGTAACAGTACAGAACAGAAAGCCTAGAAATAGACTAAAATTCATATGTAAGTGCAGTGTAAGTAATAAAGAAGTCATTTCAGTTCAATGAGTAAAATTAGATTATCCAATTAAAAATTATTGCAACAACTGGCTAACGAAATAGAAAAAAATTACATGGCCGCTTGGCTCGAGTAGGCTGAAAAATGGTCCCCCGACAAAATAGCTACCTTAAATCCCTGGGACCTGTGAAAGTGACCTTATTTAGAACAAACATTGTAGATGTGATTAAGGATCTTAAAATGGGTTATCTCAGGTGGGCCTTAAATGGCATCACAGGTATCCTACAAGAGAGAAAAGGAGACCAACACAAGGAGAAGGTTATGTGAAGACTGAGCAGAGACTGGAGTAATGTAGCTATGAGCCAAGTAAACATACAACTTCCAGAAATTGGAAGAAGCAGGGAACAACTTCTCCCCTACAGCCACTGTACGGGGTGCAGCTCCAGCCGAAACCTTCATTTCAGGCTTCTGGCTTCCAGACAGTGAGAGAATCAAGTTTTGTTTTTTAAGCCACCAAGTTTGTGATAATTTGTTACGGTGGCCACCAGAAATGAATACGCCTACCTCACTCCTTTCACTAAATTAATTCCAGTTGAATCAAAGATTTAAACTCTTTAAAAAAATGTATTAAATAGAAAGATGGCGGAATTTAAAGAATAATCTTGTGAAGTGAAATAAGTCAGACACAGAAAGACAAATGCTGTACGATCGCTCTCTTATTTGTGGGACCAAAATACATAAATAAATAACCAAGCTCATAGAGACAGAGAACAGATTGGCAGTTGCCAGAGAAGGGGTACAGGGAGAGGGATAAATGGGTGAAGAGGGTAAAAAAGAAAAAAAAACACTATTGAAGAATAATCTTAGATAGTGGAGGCCTCCCTAACTAAAACAAAGCCCAAGAAAGAAAAAAGTTTGAAAACTGACTACAAAATAAATTATTTTCACCTGGGAAAAATGCCACAAAGTATTGTAAAATACAAATGACTGACTGAGAGAAATATTTGCAATATATGACATACAAATGGTTTACCTCCTTAATATAAAGAATTCTTACAAATCATAAGAAAAAGACCATTCAACCAATAGACAAATGGGCAAAAGACAAATAAAAAGTTTGCAGGAAAAAAGGCTTTGAACATATGAAAAAATGCTTAAACATGTAAAAATGTAAGTGTGAACTAGAATGGAATACAAGTTTTCACTTATCAGATTGGCAAAGATAAAAGTAACAAGGATGAGGGAAAGGTGGCACTGATACATTGGTCAAGTTGGTTAAAAAGTCTCTTTGGGGGAAACCTGGGCACTTCTATATATATTTACAGTGCAAATACCCTTTGACTTGGCAATGCTATTTCTAGAAGTTTTGCACATGTGGACAAATACATATATGTCCAAAGATATTAATGCCAGTATTGTTTATGAAAGCAAAAGAGAGAAAACAATGCAAATGTCCATCAATAGGGTATTGTCTTAGAAAAACATAACATATCCATCAGTGGAAAATATCAAGATAAAGAATGAGCCAGATATGTATGGCGGGATCTGGTCCAATGTCCTAAGTAAAAAACAAAGTAAAAACGAACAACAACAAAAATCATCTCGGCCGGCCAAATGGCACGATGGTTAAGAACTGGCTTGGGATGCCAGAGGGCCCCGGTTTGGATCCCACATATGAGGGCCAGTGACACTGCCCTCTAAAGCTAAGATGCTGAACAACAGCTCAAACTGGAGAGGGGATGCCATGAGTCGCCGGCGACGGCGTAGGCTGCAGCCCCTGTGGCAGTGGGTTGCCATGGGCTACCGTGTGTAGCCAGCAGCCAGTGTGAGCGGCCA